GAAAAGAAAAGAAAAGAAAAGAAAAGAAAAGAAAAGAAAAGAAAAGAAAACCAATCCCTGTGGCAAATAGTCAAGAAAAAGAAATTCTTACATTGTCCATGTCCAAAAAAATGCGTGCTGCATTCTGAATATTGAGTCTATCACCTCTTTATCGGGAAGTGGGTGGTCACACGGAGTATTAAGTTTCACAGTCAGGATTTGAATCCAGGTCCCCTGACTTCCAAATCTAGTTTTCTGTTCACTGCACCAAATTTGATACTGCTAGGGCTTGTGCTTTGGGAATTGCATTTGCCTAGGGTCTCATAAGTCATATCTCAGAGATAACCTTCGATGGCACAGCATTCTGCACCTCGCCCCTTCCCCTCACACATACACACGGACATACTCTATCCCCCACCCCTCCTTCCCAGTCCCCTAGCTTTATCCCCAGCTGTGTGAGGTTACCTGAAACAAAGAGTGCCTTCCCTATCCCAGGGCTCTGGACAAACACCAGAGCCAGCCCTTGCTTGGGGCTTCCACCAAACAGCACAAAGTCTGAAGTACTCACCTGGGTGTTCTGGGTAGCCCCTGAGAAGGGAGGGGCTGTGAGGGGGTGGCAGGAGGATCAGAGGAGAGGAAAGGTGAGATAGAAGGGGCCAGGGGGCAGTGCTGAGCAGGGCAAAGAGAGAGCCCTGGGAAAGGACAGTCTGCTCCTTGCCCACCACCCACAGCCCGAGGCCAGGCCAGGCGCAGGCCACACCTGAGTTACCTGCATGTTCCTCAGGACCAGCTATAAAGATGTGTGCAGGGGCGGCCCACGTCCACAGCAGGCCAGGCGGCCCTGAATGAGGACTTCTTTTGAATGGGACCACCCCAAATGGAACCCAGGAGTGGGAGAGTCCCTTTCATTCAGCCGGCCTACCTACCTTGGGTCTCTCCATTTTGTTATTGGAAGGTCTCCTGTCTCTGGCTCGTATTCTGTGGAAGCCCCCATTCACCAGGGTTATAGGCTAGGCTAGGCAGGCAGGCTGGAGTCTTGCCTCACCACAGAGGCAGCAGGGAAAGGAGGGGAGGGACTTGGGAGGAGGAGCTCCACCCTCGGGCAGATCCCAGCCCATGAAACAGAGTTGCAGACAGCAGCGGCTCTCAGATGGGAGCCGATCTCTGAGGCAGCAGGGAACCTGCAGGCGCTGAGGACTGAGCCAGGAGCCACTCATTGACAATCGGACATCTGGGCAGGGAGGCACCAGCCTGGGGACAGTCACCCCCAAACTCCCTGCCAGCTCTCTCTTTAAAGATCTCTCTACGACCTCACTCACCTGCCCGCTGCCGGAGTTTCCCAGAAGCCGCTTCAAGATGCTCAGGTTATGGGTGCTGGTCCCTCTGCCTCACAGACCCAAGTGAAGTGGACTTTCCAGGGTCTCTTCCCCAATTCCACCCCACGAAGGAAAAGCTTTCCTTGGTATCTCCTCTCCTCCTTCCCACTTCTCACCCCACCTGGGGTCCTTCGTGGGCTTGAGTATGTTGGTTTTCCTTTGGATCTCAAGCCCCATGCCCCAGGACTTCTGAGGCGATATCAGCCATGCGGCTGTTCACGTGTTTCCTGCAGCTTTTGGCTGGTCTGTCCCTGCCTGCTGCATCCCCCCAGGTAAGGATTCTCTCTTCCCCAAACCCAGCTCCCCCTTTCTCCCCATCCCCAACATCTGTCAGGGAGTGGGCTGGAGAATCTAGGAGGAGGTTGTGGGCAGAAATGAGAGGGCACCTCCATGGACACAGACACCTCCTCCCCATCCCTAAGAGAAAAGGATAACCATGGGCTCCAGGTACTTCCTAGAAGCTGGAACCCTCCTCACCTCCTGAATGAAGAACTCAGGTTAAGCCAACCCCTAGAGGAAAACCAGCCCCAGTTGAGGTTTCTATCCCGGAAGGGGGTGGAGGAGGTGGGGGGTGAGACTATAGGGAAACCACAGCAAAGGGAGGGAAACTTCCTGTCTGGCCCCAGGGCCTTGGTGGTTTTGCTAAAAGCATCTCCCAGTTAATCCCAGGGCTGGGCTCTGGCCCTGTGGTCAGGGTCGAGGCCCTGGTGACTAGCTCAATGCCTTTGGGACCTCTGACCCAGCCAGGCTCTGGGGAAACAGAGAGATTGGAGGGGGCAGGGTCACCAGGGAGGTAGACTCCCTGGGTGGCTGGGGAATATACCAGAGCCATGCCTGATTGCTCCAATTACTGCTGAGTGCAAGGGGGCCAACCTGGGCAAGAGGGACCTGGGGGAAAAAGGGGACACCAGTGCCTATTCCATGGCTTGGTCAATAGTCCCCTGGAAGGGTTTCAGGTAGTCTAAGGGGACAATGCTCCCTCTTCTTGGATCTGACCTCACTCCCCCAGGGTCAGTCCAGCCCCAAGGTCCCCATCTGCTGGCAGCTGACCCGGAGGTCCTGAGTCCCTGGGCCAAGAGAAGCTCCCAAGTTCTTTTCCCAGGAGCTAGGGCATGTGGCTTAGAGGCTTGGCTCAGTTCCAGCCTGGGTAAAGACGTCCTGCCAAAGGCAATAATGTCCCTTCCCACTGCCTAGGGAAGTCCTCTTTCCCACCCAGGTCCTTAATGCTGAAAGCAGGGGTGTTGGGTGGGTAGAATGGGGAGGGGAGAAGAGTGGGAGACGGGCCAGGAAAGTAAGGGGATCACTTCCCAGGCAGAATGGGGGAGTGACTTGTATTTCCCTGGATGGTCCTGAGGGAGCCAGGCTGCTGAGTTGCCTTGTTATATAGCATTTCTACAGCTACCAGCACCAGTGGCCCCCTGCTCCCACCAGCTGATCTCCCTCCCCACAGGGCTCTGGCACCTAGCCAAGCTGGGACATTAAAGGGGCCAAGGGGCTCGTGTGGGAGAGCACAGGAAGGGGGATGGGTAGGAGGGAGGCAGAGTACAAAGCAGAAAGGGAAAGCAGCTATAGACTGTAGAATGCTCGAGTTGGAAGGGGCCACTGAGATCATCTAGTCTCCGCCCCATTTTTTTTTACAGGTGAGGAAATTGAGGCCCAGTATGTTGAAGTGTCTTACCGAAGGTCTCACAGCTGGCCATAGCCAAGGCCTGAAAGATGGGGGGTCGGGAGATATGAGGTAATATCCAAGTGAAAGGAGTTGGGAAAGGAGAGATTCACAGGTGTCTAGATCCCGAACAACTCATGAGAAGGCCTTGTAAATAAATAGTTGACAAAGCAACCATGCCCCCCAGCACTCTTCATCTGGGGACTGTTTGCCTGACACTAACTTTCCCTTATTCCCATGCATTTTTTTCCTTACCAGCGGGATGTACCTCCTGAGAACAGCACAGCAGAAATAGAAGGTAAGCCGGCCATGGGGACGAAGGCGAGTTAACCTTTTTCCTTCCAAACTTGTGCCCGCCAAGACTCATGTTCTGGCTTCCCCCTAAATGCTTGCTGGTGTGAGAAATGCGGGTAAAAGCCACAGTGAGTTTGGCTTAAAAAGGTAAAAGGAAGAGAAACTGTCCAGTGGCCCTAAAATCTGTGAATCCTAAAATTGTGGTAAAGTTGGAAACACTGATTTACTCCATTCCCCTCATTTTTACAGAGGAGGAAACTGAGGCTTGAAGAAGTTATGGGTTGCTCAAGGTCATGTAGCTAGTTGGGAACAGATTGGGATCCAGAATTTACTTTCCCCAAGTTCTTGTCTAGAGCTTTTTCCACGCCCCCCACACTGGGTCAGAGGTGGGGGCAGGAAGGGGTCCAGGTATCAATAGAGCAAAAGATGAGGGGGCAGGAGGAGATGGGTGTTCCCATTTCAGTGCTCCATCCTTGCCGACACACTTTGGGAATCTGACCAGAACTTCCAATTGATTGCAAACAGACAAAGCCTTAGTAACACCCTCCCTCACTTATGTGCAGAGAGAATCTTCAAAGTGCATGCAGGCGTTTGCCAGCACAGACATACGTGCAGAAAGTAGGCTGAGCAATGCCAGGCTCTTCACAGAAACGTGCTGAGTGTCCACACGCCACCTCTTTAACCCCTGACAGTCACTTCCCCCTCCCACTCCCAAAATGAGACATTTCTGTGGGTGAGGAAGCATGTACAAACAGGCACACGAACACGCGTGCTGTTCCCCTCCAGAATAAGATCCTGTCTCAAATCAGGAAACACCCTCTGCCTGCCAGCATCATCCCCTCCCTATCTTCCCTTCCCCTCCCTTCCCCAGACAGACTTACCTGCTCTGTGTTCTATGACCCTCTTGAACCCAACCAGATGAGAGAAGTAACCAACCAAATCTTCTGAGTTAATGAGCACTTCAGGTGTGTCTATCACTGACTTAGGCACTGTGGAGGTATGGGGAGGCGCCCAATATTCCTGCTTTTGAAATGCTCACAACCCAGGCAAAAACATTCCTATAAAGGAAAACAGAGGCACCTCTTTAGCCCACATTATAAAGAAGCAAGGTCTGATTCCTTATATTGAATCAGTGTGGTACTGTGGAATGGACACTGGCTTTGGAGTCCAAAGACTTGGGTTTGGATTCAGCTTCTGACACATAATATTCCTGTGATCTTAGACAAGCCACAAGTCTCTTTGGCCTCTGTTTCCTCATCTGTAAAATGAGAGGGTGGTATTAGATGTGCCTTCTAGTCCCAAATCTATGGTCCTGTGACTGATTATAATCCCGGAACCATAAAGTCAATTGGAGAACCAAGATTCTGGACAAGTCAAGGACATCATGCTTTGGGCCTGACCTAGCTTCCGCCTCTTGTCCACCTACAAAAAGAGAGAGTTGGAGGAATATGGTGTTATTGGCTAGGAAAGGTTCCTAAGTCAAAACAAAAGATTTTGCAGGAAGATTTTCCAACTGTATCTACTCTTGTGGGAGGCTCTCTCCATGTCAGGCCTGAGTTGGCACATCTCTTCACGGGGACACCTGCTGTGCTCTAGGCCAGAAGCCAGCAGCCCCTCCCGGCCCCTCTCCCTTCCCTCCCGGCAGGCAACAACCATGAAAAGTTTTCTTTCAGGCACTGAACATTTCCCTTCTTGGGTCTCCGCCCAGCAGGGATGGGAAACTGGAGCCAGATGGGTTCAGCAGGAGGCTTTCGTGTAAAGGGGAAGAAAGATAGAAAATCCCTCTGATAACACCAAGAAAATCCCTGTCGGGGGGCTGCCTGGTCATTCTAAACCAGCCAGACACCAAGCTGGCCTGCCTGGCACTCTCTGCTCTCCCTGCCTCCAAGAGTAGCCAGCTGTCTATGACGAAGAGTCTGGGGATGAGCCGGGAAGAACTTCAAGAAACTCTAAAATGCAGAGAGAGAGAGAGAGAGAGAGGAGGAAACGAAAGCACTGTACTGAGCTGCTTCCCAGATTAGCAAAGGCGATGTACACAGGGCACTTTGTAAACCTCAAAGTAATGTATAACTGGGAACTTTTTTTGTTTGGGGGTTGTTTATTTGTAACCACGGACTCCTCTGGCAGTCTGAGAAAGCCTATAGAACTCTTCTCAGAATAATATTTTTAAGGGTGTAAAATAAAATCTATAACATTACAAAGCAAACCAATTATATTTAAATGTAGTTATCACAATTTTTAAAAAAAGCAAAAACCCAAGTACATGGAGTCCTAGGTTAAGAAACCCTGTTATAGAGATAGTATATACTACATAGATATAGTACTATACATATATATATATATAGTATAGTGTAGTATAGGACATAATACTATATAGATATAGTATAGCATCATGGATAGATAGCCAGCCTTGAAGCCAGAAAGCCCTGAGTTCAAGTGCAACCTTTGACACATGCTGGCTGTGTGACCCTCGTACATAAGTCACTTAACTTCCTAGTATTCTAGACTACTTTCTGAAAACATATATTGCAGAGAAAATACATTGTCAGATGGTTCACTTGGGTGTGACCACCACCAATTAAATCGTCAGTTCTGTCCCTATCCTTGTTATTATTATTTACTACTACTACTATTACTACTATTTAGGAAGGACAGAGCAAGTCAGTGATATCTGTGTCTGCCCCACACCCCCTGCCACCTTCACTTTCCAAAATACATCTCAAGGGTCTCGAGGAAAGAATTGCCCTGTCTGTCTCAGTGTTGCATGATGCTACAACCGAATGGTCCTGGTAAAATAGAGGACTGTGCATACCTCTTCCCAACCTCTGCCCCCTGAAGCTTCCTAGACTCTTACCTGGGGAAATCAGGCCTTACAGGAGTTGCTGAAACTGCATTTACACCAAAAGAGAGGAAAAGGGAAATCATTGTCTCTTTCTGCTGCCAAGACAAGTCATTTTTGCTTAACCTGGCTGCTCCCTTCTGACTGTGGTTGGATAAAAAGCTGTCACCAGCTCAATGTGAACTGGAGGAGGGGGTTGGGGACAGTTCAGAATGCTCCTTTTTTGATTGTAGGGGTCACTTTTAGAAGAAACTCTGCCCTCAGACGTCATCTATCTTGCTTTAGCCATTGTATCTTTTTTTTAAAATATTATTTATGTTTTCAGTTCAACAAGATTAAATGGTCAGAATAACATCAATGTGCCATGAGGGCTTCAGACTAAACATGTAGCTCATGAAATTAAAATGTTAAGTGCTAATCCCTGTCTCTGTGCTGCTCTTCCTCTCCATCAAAGCTCTAATAGGTTTTAGGTCATGTAAAGGGCCCCCAGCTCCATCCCCTTGGTCAGAGAAGATCCTTGTCTCACTCCTACCTACCCTCACCTTTCCACCCTCCTGACACTGAGGGTCTTGGGCCTTTGGAAAGTTCTGGAGAAGATCACAGAAGGCAGAGCCAGGGTTAGCCAGTTTCCCCTCTCTGTCTCTGACCCTCAGTTTATCCCTGGAGTATGACTGACACCCAGATAAGCATCAATGTATTGGCCTGCAGAGGCTGTCTAGGCCACGTGGACAGCTGTGGCCTGGGTATTTTCCACAGACTCTCCTCCTTTCCCAATGGCCTCTGCTTGGACCAAGGTTTATTTTTCCTCGGAGATTACCTCAAGACCAATGCCATCATCTACTCGGTGGAATGGACTCTGGCCCCTTCCATTGTCTCAAAATAGCAAGCAAGCAAAGGGGAGGTGTTGGCTGGGTGGGGGGCAGGGACAGAGAAGGGAGACTTCAGTAGGAGGAGAGGCATTAGGGACTCAGAGTGACCCAGCTCTAGTCGTCTGTCCACCAGCACCCCGGGGGGATACCCAACGTGGGCATGGCCACCATTGGGTACAATGGGTCAAACAGTTGTTTCCCTCCTTGCATTCCCAAGACCAATCTGGTCCTAATTCATAGAATATCACAGAATTTAAAGATCATAGAGGTCATCTAATCTAGAGATTCTTAATCTTTTGTGTGTCATGGACTTCTTTGGCAATCTGGTGAAGCCTATGGACCCTTTCTCAGAATGATATTTTGTTGCCTATATTAATTTTTTTTGGACTCAGGGTCACACATCTAGTAAGTATCTGAGGCCAGATTTGAACTCAGGTACTCCTGATTACAGGGCCAATGCTCTAGCCACTGCACCACCTAGCTGCCCCTGTCTACATTAATAATTGAAGGAAATGCTAAGTTTCAGTTAAAGGTTAATTAAAATAAAGATATAAATATAAATATTATATATATACATATATACATATAGTTATTTTTCCCATCCAAGTTCAGAGACTCACTGAAATATATCCTTAGATCCCTTGGGGGCTTGTGGACCCCCAAATTAAGAGCCCTTGATCTAGGTCAATCCCTTCATTTTACAGAGGAGGAAAGTCAGGTCTAGAGAGATTCAATGACTTGTCCATTTGGGTAATGGCAGAACCGAGCCTAGAAGTCAGATTTACTGACTCTCAATTGAGAGTGAGCTCTTCCTACTATACCATATTGAACCATTTGGTTTTATGGTTGGGTCTAGGTTTCCCCCACAAGGAAGAATTTCTTTTTGGGGGTGTTATAGATCATTTCAGAGGCAACTGTGTGGTTCTGGATCACTGGAGATTTTCAATGGTTCTTCACTGGAGAGCAGGCAAGCCTAGAGTCCCAAGGCTGATTATTCCTTTTACAAACATGGGAGAGGATATAGACAAAATATAAAACTTCATGCCAGCCCCCAAAGAGCTTACAAGCTAGAGAACTTACAAGTATAGGGCTGGAAGGGGGTTTAAAGTCTGGTCCAACCGCCTTGTTGTACTTATTGGGAAACTGAGACTGAGATAGCTGAGATAAGAACTGGGTACCCAATAAAAGACAAAAAATATACCTATGTAGGGTAGCACACATGGGGATCCTCTTCCCTGTAAAGTGTCAGCATGATACAAGAGAAAAAATATTGATTCTCCAGTCTGAACTGATTCTGCTTCCGACACTTGCTACCTTTAAGACCTTGAGCAAGTCACATAACTTCCTTTGGCCTCAGTTTTCTCATCTGTAAGATGAGAGGATTGAGCTAGGTGGCCTATGAGATCCCTTTCAGCTACAGATCTATTGGAGAATTATCAATTGGAGAATCAAGATTCTGGCCAAAATACAACTTGCTTGGGCCTGACCTGTCTCCCCTCTTCCCTACCCATGAAAAAGATATGACTTGCCCAAGGTCACCCAGGTAAGCAGAACTGACTCCAAATCCTGCAAACTTTAAACTATAGCATCATGCCTGTCCAAAAGATGACATACACTATCTCATAATGTTCATTATTGTTTCACGCGTATGGGTGCCATATTTTTAATAGACTACAAGCATTTTGGGAGCTGAGAGAAGAGTGTCCATTCACAGAGAGAGAGTTCACTGGGTTGAGAGTTCAGGGAAGGCTTAATGGAGGAAATGGAAGCTGAACTGGATTTTGAAGGATGGTGGGATTTGGAATGACAAAGGAAACCACATAAGAGAGAACAGGATGATGGTATAGATTATATAGGACACGGTGCATTTGTGTGAGAGTGAGGAGAATGACCTGGCTAGACCGTGGAGTTTATGTTGGCTAGGGAGGATGGGGCCAGACTCTGAATGGCCTTGAAAGACAGACAAAGAAATTCAGACGTCATTCATTAGGATATATGTTGAAGGTCTTTGAGCTGGGAAGCGATATGATGCTTAGAAGTAATGTCACTCAGCTCCCAGCCTTCCAGGGAGACCTGAGACCTATTCTCTCAAGGTCTTCAGGACTAGGGAGTCCAATAGGCTTCTCTCGACTGAACAGGGTTTCTACCAGACCAGACTGAGGCTAGAAAATCCTCAGATTTCATTAGCCATTATTTTAAAAATAAATTTTATTGATGCTTTTTTTTATGCTATTTGTTTTTACATCAGTCATTTTTTATATACCCACACTCCAGGCAAATGAGCCCTCACTTGTAGTAAAGAAAAACACTTAAACAAAATCAACCCCGACAGTGACCACACTTGACAGTTAATGTTACACTCTGCGCTTATAGTCACCTACCTCTCTGCCAAAAGGAGGAAGATGTTTACTTATCTCTCCTTCAGAGTGGGTATTAGTCATTGTAGCTACTCAGCATTCTAATTCATTTTGGTGTTCCTTCTGTTTACATTATTGTAGCTGTGATGTATGTTGTTCCCATAGTTCTGCTTCCCTTGACTTGCTTTACATCATTGGCTACAATGTATCCGGTATGTTCTAGTGGGGATTCTCTTTCAGGTGTGGATCATAGATTTAGACATGGAAGAGATTTCATTTTACAGAGGAGGAAACTGAAGCTCAGATAGGTTGAGTGACTTGGCCATCCTCACGCTGTAGGTTTGAACCTAGGTCTCTCTGACTCTCAGACAACAGCACTTCATCTTCTACACCAGAGGTGTCAAACTCACAGCCAAATGGGGGCAGGAACCTCATTAAAATGTAATTAGCAAATGTTTAATAAAATAAAAATACAATATGACATAGATAATGCTAATTTGTGGTTTTCTAAGTCAATGTGGGCCCTGCAGGGACTCATGTCTACTTGAGTTTGACAGGCTGTTTCATATACTACCTCTCCTGAGTTGGCTTAGATGTCCTCTGACATCCTTTCCAACTCTGAAATCCCAAGTTTCTGTGAAGTATTCCCTTGTTTCTCAGAATTACTCATTATCATCATTTCTTGCAGTGTAGTAATATTCCATTACATTCATATGCCACAATTTGTTTAACTATTTCCTAATCAACGGACACTCATTTTGTGTTTAATTTTTTGCTACCATAAAAAAAAAATTGTTCAGCAGCCATTTGCCTTGTACTTTTGAAAGGCTGTGTGGGAAAATGAACTTAGGACCCTCAACTTGAGATCAGAGTTTGAGTTCCATTTTGGCCACTTAACAGGTATGTGACCTCTAGGCAAGTCACAACTCCTCTAAGCCTCAGCATCCTTAGCTGTAAAATGGGGATAGTAAATCTGTACCTTACAGGGTTATTGTGAGGATCAAATGTGATAATGTATGCAAATATATGAGTTTTGGGTTTATGTGGCATTTTAAGGTTTGCAGTATTATGATGAGTTCTAAGTAGGTGGGAAGGATACAGGCTTATGCATGTGGCACAGTATCTGACTTGAGAAAGGATTAAAGGTGAAGGGCTTTCAACCTCACACCCATCCTAGAGGAGCCCAATAGAACTCAGGCTAAGAAAACAATTCAGCAACTGTGTTCAATACAATACCCTTATTGGGAATCAACTACGTGCCCAGCACTATCCTAGGTGCTGCTGAGATTATAGAAGAAGACGTGGTTCCTACATTCTAAAATAATGTCTAAGGACATTTAAATACCATAGCAAAATAAATGACCAAAAAAGTCTTTATAAACCCAGGGATACAATGCCTCATGAAGGACACAACTGTGATGTGACCAGGGACTACTATTGGAAAGGTATGTGTATAGAGAACATGTAATGCTGTGGAACCACCAGTGCTCTCTACTGATATGATCAAGGTTGCTGTTTTCTCTGTTGGAACAGCATCCTCTTTCTCTCAGTTCTCCTAGCCATGTTGCTTTCTGCTGAGCATCTCTGCCTCTGCACTCTGATATCATCCTCTGGTCATTGGCTACTGTGCAGCCTCTTTCCCCATAGGAGGAGGGGTATGCCAGGTCTTCAGCTTGACAGTTCCAGGGGCCATTTTTTGCTCCTTTGTGCTTCAAATCCTAGCCAGCCAATAAGAGAAATGTTTAGATATTTTTGTCTGCCTCTTGAGATTCTGTTCTTCTGCTACTGGTGTTTGGGATGAGTCAGTCTAAGCCTTATCTGAGTCAGGATCTGAAATTCCTTTTAATTCCTATTATATTCCTTCGACAGGAAATTGGGTGCCCTCTAAAATCATCTCCACTCAGCAAAACTGCCAATCAACTGGGATGAGGAAATTCCTTTCAAGCCCTTTTAATGCCCCTGCTTACCATGCATGTTGAGCCAGGTGGAGTTGGTGACTTTTTCCCTGCTTTCTACCAGCAGCCAAAATTGCTGTTCTCCCTCTATATGTTTATCTCAAAGTCAGTGTGGATATAGTAGTCAGGGAAGATTTCAAGGAAGAAATGTCAAGTGAATTGGGCTTCATAGGATTCAATAGACATTTAGACTCAACAAATACTTATTAAGCAACTGCCAGGTGCAAGGTACTGTGCATGGATGGGTAGGGCAATTAATAGGGAGCATTATGTTGGAAGAGTCTGTGAAGAAAACAGATAAGGATTGAGTGTATCCAACCTACCCTGTCCTTGACTTTGGTGCTTGTGAAGGGAGGAAGGTTCCCCACATTTCCTCTCCTTTAGATCTCAGACCCTAACATTCTTTGTCCCCCTGCAGTGCTGCCCTTCCAGGAGGTATGGGGCCGAAGTTTCTGCCGCTCGCTGGAGAAATTAGTGGATGTTTCAACAGAGTACCCAGGGGAAGTGGAGCACATGTTCAGCCCGTCCTGTGTTTCACTGAGGCGTTGCACTGGCTGCTGCGGAGATGAGAACCTCCACTGTGTTGCTGTGGAGACAACCAATGTCACCATGCAGGTACCCCATTGCCCTACCTCTGGACCCCCTACCTACTCCCTGAGACTCTGACACTGTTTCTGAGACCAGGATGCTCCATCCCTGAGGTTCCCTTCTTTCCCCATCATCAGAACTTATCCAGTTTTTGGACCCTCACTGCCCGCCCCAAACCAGTCTTAGATATTGAAATATTCATTCATTCAATAGGCATTTTATTAAATATTTACTATTTAAAAAAACATGTTCTAGTTCTAGTTCAAGTTCTAGTGATTTGTACCTTATCACCCTTCCACACCCCCACATTTTGTATAGGGTAGTAATTGATGATGCTATTAGCTGGGGGAAGGTGGATGAATTCCCTCAGGTTGGTTCTGGTTTTCTCTGTCAATGAGATCAGCTGGAAGAAACGTCTGGGACTGATGCAGCAGCTTACTCCCTTGGCCTGGGTCAGCCATTATAGGTGCTGCTGCTGTCTGGCACCTGGTGAGCTGCTTGTCTGGCACTCAGCAGGGGTATAGGGTGCAAAGGCTCGTAGGACTCAGGAGGCAGACTCTGTGACTTCTTCCCAAGGAGGCAGGAGGAAATGCAATGGGGAGAAGTTCTGTGTTGGGGGGAAGAGAGACTAGGTTCTTCCAGAGCAGGGGACCTTGACCCCCTTTTTTTGTACCATGGGCCCCTTTTACAGTCTGGTAAAACCCATGGATCCTTTCTCAGAATAATTTTTGTTGCCTTCATAATTGAAGGAAAAGCAGAATTTCAGTTAGAAGTGAGTGGAAATAAATTTATTATTTTTCTCCCTTTCCAAGTTCATAGAATCCCCTGAAATCTATCCACAGACCTAAGGTTAAAGATCCACTATTCTAGAAGGGAGATAGATGGGGAACTGTACAGTTCCACATTGCCCTTCAAATTTCATAACCCGCTTCTTTTTCACTTTTCCAGCTCCTGAAGATCAAGTCTGGGGAACAGCCATCCTACATGGAGTTAGCATTCACTGAGCATGTGCGGTGTGAGTGCAGGTATGGGATCCCTGCCTCTCACCACCCACATGGCACAGGCTGTGACCAGGGTCCTGGGCACTCTCGGGCCTGCCCTGGAGGGTACTAGCATTCCTACTGTCCTGCCCACCCCACCCCCAACAGGGGATGGGAGATGGGATAGTAGAAACAGTCACAGAGTTCAAATCCTGTTTCTGTCCTTACTTATCTGTATGACCTTGGGCAAATCACTTAACCTTGCTTGGCCTCATTTTCCTCATCTGTAAAAAAAAAAATATATATATATATATAGTAAGTGGCTGCTTACTTGCACTAAGTGATCTCTGTAAGGTCCTTTCCAAGTGTAGCTCCTACGATCCAACTAAAGGCTTGTGATTCTGGGAGACGTGGCATATTAGAAGAGAGGAGACACCTACTATCCCAGTGGGCCATTATTCACAGAGCATCACGGACATAGCTCCATAGCCCAGACTGCTAACTTCTCTGAGGGTTTGTCCTCAAATTCCTGGACTCTCCTTTCTTGGAAACCAAGGCCTTTTGCTTAAAGTGTAGCGATCTTCATTTGCTCTTGATCAGCAAATCAGTGTCTGAGACAGACGGGTGGTCAGGTCTCCGCTGAGGCCTTCTGCATTTTGTTTCCTGGATTTTTGGAGACAGGGAAATAATTAACTCACCAAGAGGCACTCTGGCTGCAGCTGCATTTAATTTCCTACTCCTTTATCCATCTCTTCCCCCCCCACCCCCATCCTCCCCTTCTAGCCTTTGCCTGGAGAGGTAGAACCAACAGCTGGTTTACAGCTGTGTGGCAGAATGGGAAGAGGACTCCTGGGTCCCATCCAAAAAAGCAGGAAAGAGAAGTTTGAATAACTGCTAATCATGCAGGGCTTTACAAGTGCTGGGGTGCTCAGCCCTGGGGTTGCTAGGAGGAAGCTGTAGGCCTGGGAACCCTAGCAACCAAGCACAAACTGCAGCCACTCACTGGGAACCTGTTGGAGCTTAAGTTTTGGAGGCTGATCTTAGCTCTGGGGCAATTGTGCTTGGAAAATTGGAGCAGGTTCCAGACTCTTGATAAAATAAGAGGACAAGTCCATCTGAGTGCAGCCTGCCCTGCGCAGGGACTCTTTGTTAAGTCAAAGGGAAACACATGTGGTTTCTTTAAAGTTCCAGGCCCCGGCCAAAACCTCCCCCTGAATCATAGGGCCCCTGGAACTCCTGCCCGAGCTCAAGAGGCATAGAAAGAATGGTTCATTGTCTGTTCGGTCCAGGGGGTAGACCAGCAGACCTTATTGCTTATACAAGGGGCTGGGAAGAGTTGACATCCTCGGGAATCTGGAACTCCTGAGAGTAAGAGAGGATGCTATTCCTTTTATCCTTGGACTCTGGGGAGCCCAATAGCTTGGAGTACCCCTAAATTGTATAGCTATGGTTCACATCCAGTGTGGGGCCCCAACTAATGATGGGGCCTTTGTCTCTGCCTTCCCTCTACACATTTCATTACCATTTCTCTGCTCACCATGCCAACTCAGAGCTGCACAGAACCAGACTTTGCCTCAGCTTTGACTGGAGTGAGTAGTAAATACCTTCCCCTAACCTTGTGGATATAGCCACTATACCTGGAGTCAGGAAGACCAGAGTTCAAATCCTGCCTTACACACTTTCTGGTTGTGCGAATGAGGGCAAATCATTTAACTTTTCTCAACCCCAGTTTCTGCAGTTACAAAATAGGATAATGATAATAACACCTACCTCACAGGGTGGCAGTGAGGAACTAATGAGAATATATGTAATGCACTTTGCAAATCTTAAAGCACTATATGATAGCTATCATTATTAGATTGGTTATTATTTCATCCTCTGGTGATATACCTCATGATTTTTGGGGGGGGCAGTCTAGACCAAAGTTTCATTTACTGGTGGAGAGAACCCATTGGTCAGGAAATTTCCTCTATCAATGTAGATAGGGAGTTTTTCTGTAGCTTTTTAGAGGATTTCCTAGCGGTCCCATTAGGTTAAGTGATTTGCTAAGGGTTATATAGTCAGCAGGTATCAGAAGCAGGACTTGAACCCAGGTTACCCTGATTCCAAGGCCACCTCTTTATCCACTATGCCATGATTCCTTTCAGCCACATGATCTGGTCTTAATAATTTTCTCTGATGTAGCCCTCTACTAATTTCAAAGTGCTTCCAAATACATTAGCTCATTTTATCCTCACTACAGCGCTCTAAAGGGGTGTGTGTGAGTGTGGGGATGTTCTTTAGGGTAAATTCTTATGATACCTATTCTAAAAACGAAACCAAAGCAGTTAAGTCCAAGAATCTCAGATCACGGTGGTGTTCCCTCTAATGACGCAGATAGCAATCCCATCCCAGCCTGATCATTCTTTGTGACCTTTGCTCATGTTTGCCACACAGTGAGGTTAACAAAATGCTTTCCTCAAGCCACCATAAGAGGTAGGTGGTGTAATTTTCATTCCCATTTTACACATGAGGAAACAGAGGTTCAGCAAGGCTGATAGATTTGCCAATCATCATAGAGCTAGTACATCGGAACGGGAGGGCTCCAGTTTTCTGACTCCTAGACCCATTTCCTTTCCCCTCAACCCCACGGCCTCCGTAACACACATAGAACTGCAATATCATTTGTAACCCACGCTGAACTTCTCTTTGGAGACCTACCTCCTGAGGATTTAACACCAGGGCAGATTCACCTACTGGAAGGCTTACCCTCCAAACATCTGCTCAAGCACGACCCCTGAAGCATCTTCTGGAGCACTTAAGAAGATTCTCACTCTTCTCCACTCTCACCTACAAACCAAACACCAGATTGATGTCATCACTTCCCCCTGAGCCTAGCTGGCCTCTTCTCCTCCTCTTAACAAGAAGAGAAAACACAACAGGAGTACTTTGTTTTCCAGTTGGGCAGCTGTGAGGCAGTCACCCCATGCCTGAGAGATGAAGGTCCTTTTGGTAACAGCTGACTCTATACTCCCGATTCTCATATACTCCCTGACAATGGCTGGTATTCTGGCCTTTTTGATGTCCCCAGAAGGCTGTCCCAAAGAAACGGAGGGCTGGCCCTGGCCCCTAAGTGTTGCTGGTATAGATCAGGAGCTCATATTCAAAACCAGTTAATATCACTGATGACCTGCTATGAACTACCTATTTTAAAGAGTCTCTGTTCTCCCTCTCCTTTCCCCAAGAAGAGAGCTGAGACCCAGACACCCAATCTTTTATGCATCCTTTTTATAAAAAACAAAGGATTAGAAATAGAAGATGAGAAATGTATCAAAAGGAAGGGAGATTGAGGAGTGAAGTCACTGACTTTGAACCAACAGAAACACTGGCACTCCCAGAATTTAATTTTTTAAATGTTTTATATTGATTTATTTTTTCACATGGCTATCATTTCTAATACCCCTTTCTCCAGTAGAACTTTCTCCCTACTCCTCTCCCTCTTTTCTGTGTGGATCTATGATTTCATTGGTGGAGGTTGTGGAACATGGAAACTTCCTCCACTATTACAAAAATCTTAGTTGACTGGAGGCATTGAGAGGTAACTTATTCAAGGTCACATGATGTGTGTGTGTGTGTGTGTGTGTGTGTGTGTGTGTAGGACTTGAATTCAGGTCTTCCTGACTGCAAGGCCAGCCCCCTTTCCACTGAGTCATGCAGCCTCCAAGAACCCTATCTTTCTTGTAAAGGAAGAAAATATTTAGTAAAAACAACTGTCACAAAACCTACTCCCAGACTTCTTGTTCCTGGTGCCTTAGGGATTGGAGAAGCTACTTTGATAGGGCAGTCAGCCATCGACTGACTGCTGGTTTGGAGAGCATTCTGCACTTTGCTGGGGGTGAGGAAGGGGAAGGGCAGCATTTCCCCCTGAACTCCTTATCTGGGGACCCTGCTAAAAAGAGTGTTGGACTTGGGAAGAGACTGAATTTGAATTTCAACTCTGCCACTCACTAGCTAGCAGTGAGAACCTGGTGGTTCCCTTCCCTGCTGTGAGTTTCCGTTTCCTCATCTGTGAAGTGAGAAGAATGATACTTGTACAGCCTACCTCACAGGGTTGTTGTGAGGAAAGCGCTTTGTAAACCTTAAAGCATCATATAAATGTGAGTTCTAAGCATAATGATTGTTATCATTATCTCCATCCCCAACCCCACTGGACTGGGCAGGGTAGAACTAGTCATTCCCCTTCAGCCATCTGACTTCATTCCAGGGGTAGATCAATGATCCGTCTGACTGTCCCTCTACCCCCTGACTCCAACTAAGCTCTGGGAATTAGGGTTTTCCCAGGCCACATCTGTCCAATGAGCGCTGCCCCTCTCCCTAGAGGCCCTGGTGCCAATTATTGGCCCTGAGAACACGATCTCTCCCAACTCACCTTCATCTCCTTCCCTTCTCTTCTCTACCCAGGCCTCGGAGAGAGAAGATGAAGCCAGAAAGGTGAGTGTCCTTGGTCTGGGATGCAAGTAAGCTGGGCTCCAGCTCAGGACAGCCCTACCCCTTCTTCCCCAGCCCCATCCAAAGCCCATGTGTCCTGACCCTTTTGGTTTCTTACACAGGAGGAGACTCAAGGGTAGAGGGAAGAGGAAGAGAGAGAAGCAATGAACCAGAGACTGTCATCAGTGAGTGTTGGATGGGGAGGGGGAGACAAGGAGGCTGGGGGCTCTGGGGCTGGTAGGGGTGGAAGAGAGGAGCCAGAGACTAGAGAGAATCCCTTGGTGAGGGGGAGAAGGGACCCCACCTAGTTACCCTAGAGCCCATATATTGAAACAGTCTGCCAAAATGCTAAGGAAATCAGCTGACCTTGGTCTTTATACCCTGTAGAACTTCTCTCTCCCTTTTACTCTCTATGGACTGACCTCCTTCAAACTCAGAAGAGGCAGGAGAAGCCGGTGGTAAAGGGAAAGATACCATAGTCCTTAATCCCTCATCCATTCAATCATGGTGAATTAGAAAGAGCCCTGGATTTTGAGCCAGAGGGTCTAAGGTTGAAGCCCAGCTCTGCTACTTACAACATGTCAAATCACTTCACCTCCTCGGGCCTCAGTCTCCTCATCTGTAAAATGAGTGGATTGGCCTCTGAGGTCCCTTTCAGCTCCACTATCCTCCGATCTCATACCCACAATTTATACTTAGGGACATGGAAACATAGGGAGAAGAAGTAGCTAGTCCAGGGTTACACAATCAATGACAGCCATGGTCTGGACTTAGATCTGAAAGTCCTAGGTGGAAAGGGCCCCTTTGTTCTTTTTCATGACCCAAACAAGGCACTAAAACACAAGAGCTCAACTTTGGCCGCCCGGAAACTAGAAACCCAGGAATCCTGCCTTCCAGGCCCCTTTGTGAGAGAACACCCCCAGACTTCACTCCGGTTCTGCATTTTGTTTTGGGCAGGTGCGAAGATGCTGTTCCCCAAAGGTAACCCAGTGGACCCTGGAGAGAGCAACCTCTGCCTAGCTTATATTTATTGCCCCTTTCACAATCTCAATTACCTCCCTGCCCACAGCCCCTCTATTTATTAGCCAAATGTAACCCCTGCTGAATGTCTACTTCTCCCTCGGCTGGGAGACCGACTCTCAGGACTTTGGTGCCTTAAGAAGAAAAAGAGGAGCCTGCAGGAGGATCCAGAGTCCAGGTCATGGGATGTACCTAAACACTGAACACTTAACTATGACTCAGAAGCAGGTGGGGAAGGGTTCACTTCTTCATCCCAGGAACTTCCATGGAACCCGGGGTGCAGAGGAGAGGAAGGAGTGGATGAATCCTCTCCCTCTCCCATTCTTGTTTCTGAATGAAACAGGGACCTCTGGACCTTGGAAGGGAAAGTATCCCTTGCCTGAAGTCTAGGCAACATTCTTTTGAAAGAAAGGAAACAGTTAATTGTGCCCTATACGAAAGGATCCGCTAGAGAAGTCTAGCCTAGCCCACTTTTCACAATGGAAGAGGGTAGGTAAGAAGGAACCTGGAAAGTGGCACCTAAACTGGGGTGTCTGGGAGGGGACAGCTACCTTTGCTTAGTGGAAGAGGAGAAAACCCTGGTCATCTAGGGTCTCAGGAGAAAATTTGCTGGAGCAATTAAGCCTTTTCTTAGCAAGTGCCCTCCCACCCTGGCAGCCACTCCGAATCGCAGAGAGCCAAGCCTGGGACAATTTCGAAGAACATTGGATACAATGGTCTGTAGGGGACCTCCTCTAGTCTCCTATTTCTCCCAGGACCTTGCAACTCTTTCCTACAACCTGACTGCAGGAATTCATCTCCTGGCCTGGGATGTCACCCCAAAGAGCCCCCATATGCCACTCTGACCCACTGGAAATACCAATGGGTACAAATGCCAAAAAGATGCAGGCAGACAGCCCTTAGCCCTGGGCATGATGGTGAAGATGTAAAAAAATACTGAGGACTCCAAGGAAGACCCTGCTCCTAGACTCTCTGGACAGGGCATCCAGCCCACTGAGGAGCACTGTTCTATACCCAGAACTTCTGTGAAATGGGTTGAGCAGGTTCCTTTTCAAGGGGGATTGGGTGGGAGGAGGCTGGGAACTTTCTGTGTGTCACACCAGTTCTTCCTGACCACCATGTTCATCGGGCACAGGGAGGCCAAAGAAAAGTCAGATTATCTTAAATAAAGTATTTTAATCCAAAAAAAATTTTTTTTTGCCTGGGGAAATATGATTGCTTGCTACAAAAGGATGATCTCAGTTAAGGCTGGGCAAATTCCTATGAATCTGGAATAAAAGGGCATACAATGCTAATCCCCATTTGAAAGCTGAGGAAACAGCAACACAGGATAAAGTGACATATGCCCAAGGTCAGACAGCTGGGGCCAGAACTCAGATCTGCTGACCTCTGATCCTTATTCTTTTTCTGCTACTAGACTATCTCCTCATGCAGGTTACCCACTAAGGCAGAAGTTCCCAATGGGGTTCCACAGATAGATTTCAGGAAGTCCAAGAATTGGACAGAAAAAGGTTACATCTTTATTTTCATGAATCTCTAATTGAAATTTAGTATTTCCTTCAATTATGAATGTAGTTCCCTCCAAAAAAAAAAATCTTTGCCTTTACCAAGTTGCTACAAGGGTCCCTAACACAGTTAGTATTTTTATGTCCTGTTATGGGGGCATCTTGGGGTATCTTATCAGTCACTTCCTGCATAGTTCTGGATTCTGCCCCAGAATCAAGAAATGAAGGTGGAGCTTCTTCTGTGACCTGTCCTTTCCAAGATGTTCTTGAACCTTGGCGGGGGGACAAGACTGCTGTTTAGGGGTTCTCTAGTTTACCTTCACCCCAGTCACCACTCAACATTACACCACCAAATTCAGCAGCACCCTCCTGTTGCCATTTGGTAATGGGCTTTGCCCCCACCTCCAACCCCCACACTCTTACCCTCAGTCTGACTGGAGATGGGCTGACCAGCACTGCTCCTCAGAGCCAATGCAGATCTTCATAGTCCAACTGGAACTCTGCCAGATTAGAGAGGATCCCCCGTTTGGGGCCCCCCAGAGGATTTGGAAGAGATGTCTCCATCACGCTCTGGCTGGAATGTGAAAGAACATCTGTTTGGAAGGGGACAAGGGCAGTCGGGAGCCTGACTACTAGACTCCTCCTTTCCTGCCTTCCCCTTCCCCCCTCACCCCCAAAATCTTGCTTTATCATACTCCCTCCTAGTTAATCCTAGCTGCCTCTGGCCTCAGAAGAGACTTCCCACCTCTCTCTCAACTTCAGGGAGGCTCCCACTGGAATGTTACTGTAACTTCCTGCCCAATGTTTTAAAAAGAGGCAATGTAGCAAAAAGAGCCTAGACTTTGTAGTCAAAAGAGCTGGGTTTGAATCCCAATCCCAATCCCTTAGGCAAATCACTTAACCTTCTGAGTTTCAGTTTTCTGATTTGTAAAATGAAGGGGATTGGGTGAGATGACCCCTAAAGTCCCTTCTGGATGTAATCCCTATGATTCTTTCCCCAGTCCTCTGCTCTGGTTTTGGTTTTGGTTTTGTTTTGTTTTGTTTTGTTTTTCAATCTAGCCTATTTAAGGCTAGGACTTCACTGGGGCTAGGAAAACACACATCTTAAAGATGGAATAGGAACATGTGCCTGAGATGATGTCAGTCTGAGGTGACCCAATGTGATGGCCCGACTGGGAAGGAGTGGGTAAGGGAGGGAAAAGGTCTGAAGGAGTGAGTCAGCCACCATGGGCGTAGCATTTGCTAGTGATTTGGGGGACCCATAGGGGACTATAGGACAAGAAGTGTTCTTGGCTTAATATCACAGAGGGAGACTCTGCTCAGACCCCAGGCGTAATCACTTCCAAAAAGAGAATCGGTTTCTCTTCTTTTAATTGCTTAGACCCAGAGACCTGGATCTGCAGAATTTGGTGTGGGGCTGTTCTGAGCAGGAAATGATTATTTGGTTTATTTAAAGGGCTGGGAGGAACCCATCCTTACTTGGTTAAACATCTATTTGGCCAGAGCAACTGAACTATCCCTGGGAACACTAGCCCAACTTTCTATAGCAGTGGTTCTCAAACTTAAGGGTTTTTAGGCTCCTTTTTTTTATTCACTCGTTTTCTCAGTTGTGTCCGACTCTGCATGACCCCATTTAGGGTTTTCTTGGCAAAGATACTGGAGTAGTTTGCCCTTTCCTTCTCCAGCTCATTTTACAGATGAAGAAACTGAGGCAAACTGGGTTAAGTGACTTGCCCAGGGTCACATAGTTACTAAGTGTCTGAGGCTAGATTTGAACTCAAGAAGATGAGTCTTCCTGACTCCAGCTTCGGCCCTCCATCCATTGCACCACCTAGCTGCCCAAGGCCCATTTACATACTTAAAAAAATTATCGAGTAAAAAAAATTATGGAGTCCCTCTACCCTCCACCAAAGAGATTTTCTTTCTGTAGATCATAAAATCTATGGATATTTGCTATATTAGGAATGAAAACTTCTTAGTATTATTATGAAAATAGTTTTAATCTTGTAGACTCCCTGAATGAATCTCAGGGACCCCAAGGGTCACAGGACTCCACTTTGAGGACTGCTGTTCTAAAGCATCCCTGAGTCTCCCCAATTCACACAAATGTTTTCCATACGTGCCGGTGACTCCCTTGGTAGAAAGAGGGAGAATACTAGGAGAGAATCTCCCAGGGACCAGAAGAGTATCTTCTCTGGTTAATTTGTTTAGTATAGAAAGCAATCATGGATAATTCAAAGTTTATTTTCAGCCTGGTTAATCAGACAGACTGGGCTGTCTTCCCTAATAACAGGATGTTAGCACTAAAAAGGACCTTAGAATCACTTAGACCAATTCTCTCATTATACAGATAAGGAAACTGAGGCCCAAGAGGTGAAGTGATTTCCCCAAGGTCATATGCATTAAAAGTGAAGTATAGTAAAAGGCTGGGATTGGAGACAGGAGATCTTGGGTTCCAATTCTGGCTTCAGCAATTAACTTGAGGTGTGAGAACAAGTCACTTAACATCTCTGAGACTCAATCTCCTCTTCTATAAAATGAGCCTTGCACTACCTACCTCACAAGGTTATTGTGAGAAAAATGCTTGGTACAGGATCTGCTTCGGATACCTTGGGAAGGTATTTTGACCAAGTACCTTATTTCTTTTTGATCTCTATTTGTAGAGGGTGGTCTCAGAGAAGGACAACAATTGTTAGCCAACATTTCCCTTGGCCAGTACCCACCAGCCAACCAGCTGGGAAAATGCCCTTGGTATGCTACACCAATGGGGCAGCTGGGTGGCACAGGTGATAGAGCACTAGGCCAGAAGTCAGAAAGACTCATCTTCATGAGTTACAATCCTGCCTCACACTTACTAGTTGTGTGACCCTAGGCAAGTCACTTAACTCTGTTTGCCTCAATTTCCTCATCTGTAAAATGAGCTGGAGAAGGAAATGGCAAACCACTCCAGTCTCTCTGTGAAGAAAACCCCTAAAATGGGGTCATGGAGAGTCAGACATGATTGAAACAATGAACAACAACATACTACACCACTGGGTAGGATGTCTCAGGATGGGTCAGGATCTGGAACAGTGTCTGTAGTAGGTTGAAACTTAAGGCGAAAACAAGATTCAAAACACAATGATCCCTGCCCCAGACCCCAGCTCAGTTCTTTGTGATCTGGCCCACTCCACCACCTACTGAGAGCCCAATACCCTGTAGATATACCCATACCTTCTAGGGGTAGTCACAGAATCATAGATTGTAGAGTCAAAAGGTACTTAAGTGACTATCTATTCCAACTCATACTTGAAAGAAATCTCTACTATAACCCCCGATAAGTGGTCATGCACTCTAGCTCAAGACCTCCAGTGAAGGCCCCCACCCCCGACTCAGACACTTCTAGAGCTGCCCATTCCACTTCTGAACAGCTTTCGTGGTCAGAATATTCTTCCTGAGATCAAACCTAAATCGCCTCTTCACAGCTTCCATCCCTTGTTTCTGGTTCTCTCTGGGGCCAAACAGAACAAATCTAATCATTCTTCTGAATAACAGTCTTTTAAATATTTGAACATAACCAGCCTTCCCCCTCCAAATCCACTCCCCCAATGATCTTGTTTTTTCCAGGTTAAACATCCCTAGTTTCTTCCTCTGTCCCTTACATGACATGGACTCTGGCCCGTCATCATCTTCGCTGCCCTTCTTTGGGCATTTTCCAGTTTATTAATGTCCTAAAATTGTGGTATCCAGAATGAAACATAATACTCCAGAGGTATTCAACCAAGACAGAGTACAAAGGGATTATTTATCTCCTTCTTTGTGGAAGCTGGGCTTACCTGAACACAGCCCAAACTTGCATTGGCTTTTGTGTCTGTGACATCACACCCCTGACTCACACTGAGCTTGCGGTCCACTGAAATCCCTAGATCCTTCTCCCCCTCCCCATTCCAGACAAACTTTGATCTGACCATGCCTCATTCATCCTGTACTTGTGAAGTTGTTCGTTTGTTTTTTAAACCAAATGTAGGACTTTTATCCCTATTCAATTTCATCTTATGAGCTTCAGCTCAGTGCTCCAGCCTGTTAAGATCTCCTGGATCCTCACTGTCATCCAGGGTGCTAGCTATCCTTTCTAGTTTAGTGCCATCTGCAAATTTAATGCGTATGCCTTTATCTAGGTAATTGATAAAAAAAAAATAATAAATGACACAAGGGTAAGGAAGATTTCTGTTAACTCTATTGGATGCCTTTTGCCAAGAGGCCAGGGAATCATTCATGACTACTCTTTGAGTCTGGCCAATCTGCCAAATCCGAATTCATTTAACTGTAACTAGTACTCATCCTTGTATCTCTTCCACAAGTAGAGTATGAGTTACATCCACAGTTAGAGCTACAGCATTTCTCTCATCTTTGTTGTTGTTCAGTCATTTTCAGTTGCATCTGACTCTCTGTGACCCCATCTGGGGTTTTCTTGGCAAGAATACTGGAGTGGTTTGCCATTTCCTTCTCCAGCTCATTTTACAGATGAGGAAACTGAGGCAAACAGGGTTAAGTGACTTGCCTAGGGTCACACAGCTAGTAAGTGTCTGAGGCAGGATTTGAATGACTCCAGGCCCAGTACTCTATCCATTGAACCACCTAGCTACCCATTTTCTCTCATCCACCAG